TTACACATCCTGTTTGTTCAGGAGACTTGATTATTCCTTAGTCAAAGAAAATGTATTTCTCTGTCCAATTTTAAAATTTCAGCAATTTGGTTATACCATTAAGACATAGTACAACTGATATATTCATGAAATTTTAATACTAGAAAAAAATCCATGACCATTTCATAACAAGTGAGTTCACAGGTCACATGAAAAAATTGTGGCAGAGCTGCTCTTGCAATAGTAGTTTTTGGTAGAATTATTTTTCATATTATGACCAATTAGTGCATCATGAAATCAATTTTATGGACTATGGCTAGGATTCTCTAAAAAAAAAAAATAGAACAAAATAGAATATATTATTAATAGATTAGACTCAGTGAAACATATCTGAATGCACTGCATGTAGTAAGGGAAACTATTGTTTTGTGAAACTTTTGTTTCAGTAACATACATCTATCTATCCATTTATCCATCCAGTTATCCATTCATCCTGAACACACATATACAACTACATATGCTACATGTTGGGTCACAATATAAAATACACTTCTTACTATGAGTAGCAATCAAAAACATTTTAAACTAAAAGACTACCAGTTCAGTTCCCTTTCCACAAAAATCATGCTACCTATGTAGAATGAAGTAATAGCCTCACACAATTTTTTTTTCTTTTTTTTTGAGACAGAGTCTGGCTCTGTTGCCCTGGCTAGAGTGCCGTGGAGTCAGCCTAGCTCACAGCAACCTCAAATTCCTGGGCTCAAGCGATCCTCCTGCCTCAGCCTCCCGAGTAGCTGGGACTACAGGAATGCGCCACCATGCCCAGCTAATTTTTTCTATATATTTTTAGCTGTCCAATTAATTTCTTTCTATTTTTGGTAGAGACAGGGTCTCCCTCTTGCTCAGGCTGGTCTCGAACTCCTGACCTTGAGCGATCCACCCTCCTCGGCCTCCCAGAGTGCTAGGATTACAGGCGTGAGCCACCGCGCCCAGCCTAGCCTCACACAATTGAGAAGAAATCTTTAGAAACTCTGTGGATAGATTTCTTAACTTTTACAATAGCTTTGTTATCGGATTATAATGTACTACAGCAGTAATTTCATAAATCACTGTTTGGACGAAGGAAAACTATGTCAGGGACAAGTTCAACCATCATCAGAAGTCTATGAACTATCTTAATAGTGCCAAAGAAATGAGAGAGTCAAAATCCAGCATGGAACCACTTTGCTAAATCCAGACTGCATTTTCTCTCCAAAGTCCAATGTAATCCCATATACCTCTTTTTGGCAGCTTAACCCTAAATTCACTCTTTTTGGGAAAGTTTTAGCATCAAGGCCATACAATAAGCACAAAAGGAAATACCGAGGCCCATCTTGTGCAGGGACACTATAGGCTATCATACCATAATCATCCTGCTACAAATCAAGTGCAAGTCCTTGATTGATAGCATCAGAATAATGAAAGAAAAGAAAGAAAGAAAAATATTCCCAGAGTCTACCTCTATACTATATCAGAATCTCTAGGGATGGAGTGTGGGCATATATATTTTTCGGAAGTTCCTTAAGTGGTTCTTCCACAAATCCAGGTTTGGAAACACCTCCTATAGACTACATTCCACATTTACCCCTTCCATTTTACTTTAAGAAAAGTTGGCCTCCTTCTTTCATCTTTTAATTTTTGACATTAAAGTCCTTGGAGGCATCCTTGACTCCTCCATTAATACCTCATTATCCAGTCAGGAAATCCTCTTGGGGCTCTGTCTTCCAAATGTATTTAGAATCCTGCCACTTAATCACTTGCTCCATTGTTACTACCATAGTCTATTTTTAATTTTTTAAAAATTTTCAACAAATGATACTACCCTAGTCTAAACCACCATCATCTCTCATCTCTTGTTACTATTCTACTAAAAATCCCCAAAGGCTCCTCATTTCACTGAAGGTAAGCCCTTACCCATCTGATAAGGCCCAACATACATGGCCCTTTCCTCTCCTCTCTCTTCTCCTGCTTGTATTCTCCTAGCCACACTGGCCTCCTCAGCTATTCCTGGAACACACCAATCACACTCTTGCCTTAGGATCTTTGCATTTTCTGTTCCTTTGGCTATGAAAACCCTTCCCCCGGATATTAGCATGGCTAACTCAATCACTCACCTTCTTTAAGTCTATTAAATGTCATTTTCTCAATGAGGCCTATCCTGACCATTCTATTTGAAATTGTAATTCGTATTTCCTGTCTCTTAGCATTGCAAAGCTCTCCTACCCTGCTCTGTTTTTTTCAAAGCATTTTTCATACTCAAACTTACTATATACTTACTTATTATACTTATTCTTTATTTTCATCTCCCTATATTAGAATTAGGTCCTTAAAGGCAGGCATCTTTGTGTATTTTATTCACTGATACATCATTGCAAGGACCTAGAACAGTGCTTGGCATAGAGCAGGTAATCAATAAATAACTGGTGAATGAGTGGAGAGACAGTGAGGCTACTCAAAAGATTTAGAACTCTCTATCCATTCCAACTAGCCATAGAAATATCCGATCCCCAGTCAGGAAACCAGAATCCTTACATTACATTACCAACCCCTTTCATGGCTACTTCTATTCACCAATATTCTTAACATAATGATGTTTAACAAAAGAATAGTTCAATGAGAATTTAAAATCTACTTTTTATGTTTAAATCAAAGTAGCTGAAAAGTAAAATTATAGCCAAATTTATAAAGCAATGATTGTAAAAACGTTTCTTGTCATATAGAGAAATTTTAAACACTGCTCAAAATATTAGAGAAAATTCTGTTTCCAGTTAATGTAGTAACCTGGTGCTTGGCAGTTAAAGACATCTGGAGCAAAAAAGCATCTTCCTGTTTCTTCAGCAATCAAGGCATAGTCCACCTGGCTGATACCGCTCACAGCTGGCAAAAACAAGTTCCAGAGGCCCTCTGCTTTGGCCATTTCCTGTCAAGGTGATGAATATGCCAGAGTGATCATAATTTACCATGATCTAAAATAAAATATTTATGATTTTTGAAATTTAAAAACACGTATAGAGTTATTTATTTCACTGTATCCTACAGTGTATAAAACTTAAGTGGTTACTAATTTATTATAAATCAAATTTCGTAGCTGTTGAAGAAATGCCTTTTCCTCCGAGCTTCCTTGGATTTGGCTGAAAAACTAAATTTCTTACTTGAGAACTTCTTATTGAATCAGAACTACTACAAAATCCCACACAACTGAGTATAATTCTGCCAAATATACTATTCCATGTAGTTCAATTTCTTACACGCATTGCTGTTAAGATTTGAAAACATGAAATTTGGATTAATCCTTCCCTGACTTCAGTCTCAATCCAGTGATGGCTCATAATAAGTAGTTTTGATCATATTTTTTTCTCTGAACAGCTATAAGAGGCTGTCTTCATCACATATGATATACAGAACACTATGTAGCCTAATTTGTATATTGTGGATTCTATTTTTTAACTTTCTTATAAAAAAGGTATTACTGATATAATTATCCTCTCTCTATAGAACAACAACAACAAAACGAAGACCTAAAGTCTCAAAAAACACTTGTATATGAATTTTCCAATGTTAAA